GCCTTCACTACTCTTTTTTGTTGGCAACAATTTGAAGAGCCCTGATGAATCCCATGTGCTATTTCTATTTTATTATGGCACCTCTAACCTCTGAACTGCTTGGTGATGTGATAACTCACAATATCTTTAGAAACTGGAGCAACTTCTGGATACAAGCTCCAGTATTTGGAATACTACAGTTAAAAAAAACAAAACAAAAAAAACCCAAAACAACATATTGGTGAACCTATCGTTTGCCTGTTGTGGTGGAAATCAAATCAAGTTCTGACACTGTGAAGTCATTGGATGCACCCTGTGAAACGTTTGTTGCCACGGCAGGTCTGAGGTGCCTGCACTGGCAGATGAGCTCCTGCTGATTTCAAGAACGCTGCTCAAGGTTCCCACGTGGATGTGTGTGACAAGTCTGGAGCTGTGCTTCATGCTTCATGCAAACCAGGAGCAAGGCCCAGCACAAACCAGTCAGGTCACGCCTACAGGAATGAGGTGGACACATCCAAGCTCACTCTAAACTAGGCCAGAGTTCACCCAGGCTATAAAACCTTGTCCAAGAACCAGGGTGAATACTGAAGCATTCATCTGTTCCAGGAGAAAAAAACAATGCTGGATTCCTAGTGGAGAGAAGAGAGTAGGACTCTCTGTAGCTTAGGAGTTAGAGCACAGAGCTCAGAAGGAAAATCCTGGATGACAGTCCTTGCTGCACAGGCTGTTTCTCTTCTCTCCAGCGACTGTTCCTGCTCTTTCTCACCTGCTGACACTTAGAGATACCAACTTACTGTGTGAAAATGTGATTTGTTGTGAAGATTCTGATCCTGCTGATGTGTGTTATGTGACCTGAGGCAGCACGCTGGATCAAGACTCTCATGGAACCTTGAGGCAGGAAGGTCTTTTTTTGGTCAGGCTTGCACACCTACTAGATGTTGAGCTTCTCAAGTGTGTGATCATATGTCCTTCTGCAAAGGTACAATAAACTCTCTTGTGTGCAACTAAGACTAAGAGCAGCCCACCACCAGCAGCTGCCTGGAAATGGCTAGTTGGCTTTAAATCTAGACACCCTCCCTTGTATTCCAGTAACTTGCTTACACGTACCCTCAGGTCTGAAGATCTCCTCATCATGAAAAACAAGTACATAATGATCTGTATTACTCAAATGCCTTTGTTACTTCAATAGGGTAAAAAAGTTCTACAGAATCACCTAAAAATAAACCAAGTTTTTTTTCATTTTAATCCCAGAAGCAATGACTGCTCAAATACCAGCTTTCCTTTAGTAGTCATAAATTGCCTACCTTCCTCAGACTGTTACCCACCACAACACAAATGGATCCTACTAAATACATGTTTCAAATCCATTTGGTTTACAAATGAAAGGACATACTTTCTTGTTTCCAGCAACCAGCTCACCAGCCCATGGGCTTGTAAGCAGCAGGCTAAGCTCTTTCATGCTCACCCTCTGTGCCTATATAGACAACAGACCTATCATGTTCCCATGGATATCCCTGCCAGTCATGTTAAGACTAGATAAGTGGCACTAAAAGCATCAACTGAGTGTGACTGGAGAATGACCTTTCCTTATTTTTGAGCACTCCCCTTGCCTGGCATACCTTTTTCTCTCTAACCACCCCCTTCTAGATCTTGAAGCAGTTTCCAGAACACACACACACACAAAGGTACTTTCTACAGGTGACAGGCGAAAATGTTGCAACTTCAAACAATACAAGGCCACATTTATCCAGGCCCTAAGCAGGTACAACTCTGCTGAGCGCTCTCACTTACTAGGTATTACTTACCTAGTCAGGTACAGTTCCCGAGTTCTGGGGGGTCCACATGAGCTCTGTGGTGGTGTCTGGAAACATAAAAAAACCTTCTCTAAAGTTTCCCTGTGTGTAACTTCTTGCCTGACAGTGCTACTTTCCCCTCAGTGAGCATAACTGGCGGCTCCTGGCAGTGCACAGGGGGCCTAACGGCAGTGAACTGTAAGGTGCAGGCTCAGAAATCACAGAAAATACTACAGAAATACTACAGAAGATTAAAGTCAAAATCTATTCCTCACATATGAGACACTGCAGTGCAATCAAGTCCTTTCTGAACTCTGTTTTAGAGGCTATAAATGTAGACCCATAGCTGAATTGTGTGTCCCAAATTTTTGCAAGCCGCCAAAGAAAACGTCAAGGGCTGGTTTATGCACGTTCTCACACATAAGAAGATTAAAACCAAGCCTAACTAGCTTTCAGAAAAAAAAAAAAAAAAAAGGCAGAAAATCCAGCATTAATCATCTACTGAGACCCAGTGTTCCAGTATTTCTCATTAACTCATATGCTTGTCTGCCCTCCTACTTACAAGCCAGGTCATTCAAAACTCTAAATATTTCAACACATAAAGAATTAATCATGAGAAAGGATGAAACACAGTGTGGAAGGAATGTAAAATCCAAATATGTGATCCGTTGGTTACTAGGTCCACCTTGGAGCTCGACCCGTTACTTCCAGACTGTTGCTGAAAGTCTTTTCTGTACTCTGAAAATATGCCGAATTACTCACACATGCCTTGTCTGACACTGATGCAGCTCACTCCTTCTCACTTTCAGTTCATCATCTTCATTCTGCCAGCCTTGCAGAAAATACAGTAACAGTTTTGCTTAAAATAGCCAAGAATTTATAAGAACTCTTACCCTCAGCAGTCAAACATTCAGAATAAAGACAACAGCACCTTCCCATTTTTTTTTTGCCTTTCTAGAGAATTTGTGATGTGCTTGCATTTGCCCAGCTTTTCCCCCCTTGCCAGTTTCTCTGCTGCAGAATGCTGACTGCAGCCCAGCATCCACAGCCAGAGACAGGCCTGGACCAGGGAGCAGGAGCAAGGGAAGGGGGCAGCACAGTGAACAAGCTGTGCTGGCTTCACTCCACAGACACCAAGAGGAAGCCAAGGCCATCCCCTGTTAAGAGAGCTCTTTGCGCTATGTGTTCATGTGAACAAGAGACAACAGGGCAATGAAGGCCAAAAAGGCACGTCCAAATAATTTAAGGCAGAACAAACATTGTGAGGCTGTACAAGATGACAACATAAGATGACATCAGATTTAAAACAGACCACCAAAACCAGCTTCTCCAAACCAAAATTAGTATTAAAGTTACTTGCTAGACCATTAGAGCAAGTACCTTCAGATCAGACCTGGGGAGAAAGGACTTTGCTCTGAGAAGAAAGCAGCCTGTCCATTCTTCTCTTTTTACTGTCAGACTGTAAAAAGATTGACTACCCTTCCTTCACCAGACTAGCTTCAATAGCATAGTCATTCACTCCTCACCACACCCAGGTACCTTTTTTCTTCTCATATTCATGATCAAAAGCTGAAGTCATATAAAAACTCCCTCATGAATCCCTGGGGAAGGCGGTGCCGACTTTAGGGTATTAAAAGAGAAAATTAAAACTGATCATTTAGTTTAGTTCTACCAGTTTACATTTGGAAACCTGAAACAGTCACACCCATCTCCGAGGAACAATCTGGATCAGCACTGGTGGAAAGCAAGTGTTTGACCTCATGGATCCACTTGGATTGTACTACTCTGCCGAATAATAGCTAGCCCAGTCTGAAATCTTTGCCAAAAAAACCCAAAAGGTTAAGCTCTCTGAAGTTGCTGGTTTCTGTTTTTTGTTGTTTCCCCCCCCCCCCATCAACATGTGAACTTGAACATCTTGTTTTAAAAACTAGCAAAAAATTCAGTACCTAAAACTTGATTTATGAGTGTAAATGCCAACTCAAGAGTTAGCACATCCATTTTAAAGGTTATCTGTAAGAACAGAATGAATTCTGAATTTTTAAACTCTGCTTCAGAGGCAAAGCCCTGACAAAGTAACTTAGTGCCAGACACGACCCCACAGGCGTTTATACTGCAGGTTAAAATTTCCAAGGTAAAAAGGCTAACGTGATCTCCTGTTAGTGCACATTGTATGGATCTGTAAGCCAAATCTGTCAGAACACTTGAGTACAGGTGTAAGAGATACAAAACATTCACAGCTGAGGCCATATGAGACAACTTTATTTCCTGTAACAGTAAAAGAGTTCCCACCAAAGGATTCCCACAATGACATTTTTGAAGGATTCCTGTTTTGACATATTCCTACATACCTACAAGACAATCTCCTGAAGTCACAGATCTTCCCCTTCCACAGTACCACGTTTCAGTTTGATTTGACTTGACACAGGATCTAAACTGCACACACCTTCCCTGGCACTGCCAAGAGGCACCATTGTCAAGGCACTAGCTGGTCTTGAGGACACTGCGTAACAGGTTTGAAAAGAATATTTGAGCCAGCAAGAGTAAGCAATTAAACTTTTATTCATCATCTTTTACATATGACTAAAAGTGTTCACCACATAATGCAAACTTTCAGTTATCTTGTGTTTAGCACTGAAAATGGTCCTCTCCCCATAATACAGCACCAAGGAGCACGTCACAGGACAGTCAGAGACAGGTTCCATGTATGAGTTTTCCCCTCTCAATGTACATGACAACACTGAAGATTTTGTAGAAGTCTGTAAGTTCCAAAACAAGTTCTAGAGTCACCTGAGTGTTTGGCAGGAACAGTATTATTTAACAGCAGTTACTTGTGTCTGCCTTTTTTTTTTTATTTCAAAAAAGAGAAACTTTTCACAAAACTGACACAAATATAATCAGGCCAAACACTGAGTTTCATATTTCACCTGGATATTTCAATGGGAGGCAAACAGAACAGACTGATGTTAGGAATTTCTGCAACTGTAAGAGCAGATATCAAGAGGAATGGAAGAAATATCAGCTCATTATAGCCCAACTGGTAGGGCCCATGCACTTATAGGCACCTATACTCACTACTCCACTCAGCTTCTTCCATGACATTTAATTAGCATTTAATTCAAACATACTACATTTAAAAAGATGGTAAGATTTTAAGTGAAGTTGTGGACATGGACATAGTTTTGGTAGTCATTTAAAGCTGTAAAATTTATCTATAAATAGAGCCCTATGGACCCTATTACAGAGCAAAGAGAAATAACCAGAATCAGTGTTACACACAAGACAATATTCTAACACAGAAACCAATACAGTTATCAAATCATTAGAGAGTAAAATTGTTATACAAAAAGAGAAATGCTGCCTTTTTATCACTGCAGAACAGCCAAGAAGAAGGCAACATTAAGGAAAGTGCACAGCAGAAAAGAATTTTTCAGTTTTCTGAAAAAGTTGAATTTTTCTTCCAACACCAGGCTTTTGTCCAGAAACGTATTGGGTTAGGATTGTTTACATTCTCTCCCAGCTCAGTCTCTTCTTGCTCTAGCTCTGGGTAAGGCGCTTACTCTGACATGTAGGAACGATACATCAGGGCCACAATAATTGCTGCTATTGCTGGGATCACCCAGTTGGACCACGAACTAGAAGGAAGATTTTGAAACAGCAGTTTAGGAAGTGACAACCAGCAAGCTTAAAAACAAGAAAAGTCATTGCTTAAAGAAGTCCTTCCTCCCCACTCCAACAAATACTTCAAAGTCAGGGCAATGGAACACCCAGGCTTGCCTGTAATACTCCAGCCAAGTAAAAAAGGCTTCTCTTTTGTTAAGGCTTTGCACGAGTGCTTACAAGAAGCTTACTTACTAGAGAAGAGCAAGACTCTAGAAGTCATGACATGCTACCTAGAAAATCACTCATTCAAAAACCACTTAAGTAGCAGCATCACATTACACTTCCACTCCCTTGTGTGGGGAGCTTGGGTGCTTGAAACAGTTCTCCAAAGTTGCAGCAACAGGCAATTGTCAGCAAGCTTTAACTTTATAGTTTAACTCAGTGGTGTTCCAAAGTAGATTTTATCCCCTCCCACTGCAGACAGATTTTCCTTCCTATAGACAGAACCTTCTTCTTTTCCCTGGATGCAACACTTGTAGGAAGTTTTAAAAGTGAGACATCCATACAGTAGAAAAAAAAGTCAGCAATGGCACCAAGTGTCTTCTATTCACCAGACTGATAGCCTCCAGAAATGAAGCCTTGTGCAACATGAACCATTTGGTAGATACTGATACACATTAACATAGGAAATAACCCTAGTTAGTAAGCTAACATGCTTGTAAAATGGTACACAGATGCCATCCTGATTTCATATGCAATTAAAATTTACATGCACCATGCCCTGACATCTATAAGCTTTCATCAGAGAGAAGCTATTCCACTTTCTAAGCCCCACAAACACAAGCAGCTTTGTTTGACATCAGGTGTTATACTATACCTGGAATTAGACTGAGTAGTGGTTATAAGAGTTTCCTGGAAAGAGAAGCATAAAAAGATATTTACATCAGGCAGACACTCCTCTACATCTTTAGTCCCTCAATTTCTCAAAACTCATTAAGTGAGACTATTTAAAAACAACTCAGAGCTGTATTCAAAATTCCTGTAACAGACTTGTATTAGAAGCTAGCTAGCAGTAGATTCTGTAGTCAACATTGCATCAGACAATTAAAAACCAACTTGCTAGCCCAAAACATAATCAAGAAGACTGAATCAATATACAATTATTCTTTACACTGAACATACATGAAGAAAGCTACCAATTTACTTCCACAATGCTTACTAAACTATTTTTTTTAGTAAAGTGTTTCACATTGCATAAAAAAGTCAAATTATTATAGTTGTTTCTGGTACTGATTTGGGCTTCTCGTTCAGTTTCCATAGAAAAAGCATCACTACAAGATCAAATCCCACCTGGGGACACAGGCACAATTTATATGAAGACAATCTGAATTGCTAATTACACACTGTCTTAAGTGCACTTAAAAAGTACATTAAAACTATACTTAAACTTAGTGGTACAGGATCCATCACTGAAAAATCAATTGCTTCTGTATCAAAATCTGCAATTCATTTAAAGAGCAGAAGATGCCTAACATCCTCTCACAGGTTTGAATAAGCTAGTTTTGCAAGCACCCAAATCACCACAGGTTTACATGTGACAAATACCACACTTAAAAAGAGTAAGCCCCAGCAATTACACCTATACTGGTTTTGTGAACACCTCTAGGAAAAACTAATCCCAAAGCCACAGTGTGGAACAGCCTGTACCCACCCTATGAAGGGTAACATCTACAACAGACTAGCCACATACAGAGCCAGGAGATGGCTCCTCCCACAGCAAGACAGTAAGAAAAATACGGCCCAGCACATCAAAGTCAGTTTTTTTGACCTCTGTGACACTGGGCACTTACACTAAGAGAACTTTAAATACAGCACAAGGATGAGAAGGCCATTTGAAAGCACAAGGCCTTCTGACAGCTCCTAGAGAGCCAGGGGCAGGGCCTAGCCAGTCACAGTACCCACCCATGGAGCAGTGCAAAGTGAAAGGCTCTTATCAGCTACACCCACGCATCCTGCTGGAGGAAAGTCCTCCAGCTCCCCTCGGGAATGATGGAAAACACACACACAGTGTCAGTAACTACAACCGGCGCTAGAACAAGCGAACAGGAGCGTAGTAACGAGTCGTGTAGACCTGTCTTCACTCCAAACTGACTACACTTTGGCCTAACTAATATTCTAAGTATTTGAGTTTAGTAAATTCCTTAGGGCTTAATCAAGGGATTGTGTACTACAGCTTGCACTGAGCAGCCTGTTCCTCAGTTGCATTTATGGTCTCTGCTCTTACAGCTTAAGTGTAAACTGCCCTGAATCCAAAATAAACCTGACTAGCAGGTGTTACTCTTGGTGGGAAGAACTCTGAATTCCAGTCACCCCTCCCCTTCTTATTGGTACTCATATACTAGTTCCATTCCTTCATAACATTCATTATTGCTATAGTGAACATTGCAGTGCTTATATACACATTTATATTTTTTCTTTCCTTTTATGATCTCTTCCATTAACATGTATGAGTTAAAGGGATTATGCCTTAAAAGTGATCTCTCAAACAGCAAGAATAAGATCTTATTCCTACTACACTTCATTTAAAGATAACCTTCAACTACATGCTGAGCATGCTACTGTACTGTGAAGCCAGCCCTAAGCAAACATCCTCTATACTCACAGCAGCAGCAATCCTACAAATTAATCTCTGATGTACTTTGCTCCTTTAAGGGACATCTGAATTTTATATGTTTGATAGCTAAGCACCAACACAGCTTTTTTCTATTAAAGATAGAAAAAAAAGGAGAAAATAAATCCAATACAGCATTGACAGGACACACGACAAGATCTGCTGAGACACTCAGCAAGCAAAGAGTATTTTCACCTTGAAAAGGGCTCACAATAGCAAATTAACTGACCTACAGCCCAGCAAATAAATGTTTCTACATTTTCTGACTACTAATGTTACCAATGTATTGTTAAGCATCACCTTTTCCCCCACAAACACTAGTTTAACCCATTCTGTGTATAAACAGATTTGGTTTTCTTAAACTGAGTACTAGGAAACATCTGACTCATTCCAGACTCACCTTTCTGCCATAGTGTAATCTCACAACTAGTAACCTCTGCGTTCAAAACCACACAAATTAAAGAACAGGTAACAGGAAGAGCAATTTGAAGCCACATCAACAGGTTTAAGAGGCTTTTGACCTGAAACACTACACCTCAATCATGTGTGAACTATTTTCTCCTCCAGGGCTATACCAGTAACCGACAGACACTGTCCCTCATGCATAAAAGCAACGCCAGTTCAAGAAATGCACTTACTGTTGGTTTCTGAAGCTTCCCTCTATCATCCTGCAAGAAAACAAGCAAGAAACATTTAGAGAAAACCCCAAAGCATTAAGAGTATTATCACTAAATTCAGTTTGCAGTTTATTCAGTTAACATGTACCTATTTTCACCTAGGAAACAGACTCACAAAAGAGCACATGTCAGTGCATGACATTGAGCTACCATAAACAAGATCAGTTCCTTAAATAATACTTCCCAGTACACAATAGAGAAGTGAAACCCGAGTCTCCAACGTATTTATTTCTTGTGCCCACGTTTTTGCATTTTCTTTGCCTCTAAACAGTACACAACCTCAGCCTGCACACCAATTACAAAATATTAGTTTACTTCTACTTTGTCTACTCATTATCAGGCAAAGTCATCTAACTACATTTGACCCAAAGGTCCCAAATTCTATGGCTCTTTCATAAACTCATGTTTTACCTGAAATAGTCACATTCATTACAAAAAAAGCCCAGCCATATATAACCTTGATAGCTTAATGTTCAAACAGCTTGACAGTGTTGTGTTTCTTATCAAATGGAAACAGGCACTTGTCAAACAAGGAAGAACTTGACCAGGAGTCAGGTTAAAAAGAACTTTACTGGCATCACTTGCCATTTGAAGAAGTGCATCAGAGATAATTATTTCATATTAGGAGAAGTTACATTAATATTTATCAAGAGAGGATCGAGGACAGAGAGAAGATCAGGAACATTTATGTGAAAATACAAAACTCAAGACAGTGATACCTCCCCTGAAGGTAACACAAAACATACACAAAACAGGGAGAAAGAGGCAGGGATGGGCAGGCTAGCAGCCTCCATCTCCAGCAAGTGGTTTTCCACTATCAAGATGTGTGAGAGCTTAAATAAGGCCTATCTGAAGGAAGCCAAGACAGCAGCTCTTTAGCTAGAATAAAGCCCTCAAAGCTGGAGGCAGCAGAAAGGTGCTTGTTAAAAGTCCAGGAAATGGTAAGGACAGCATAGAAAAGATGAAGTAACATGATCCAGTGGGAACTGATCAAAAAATCACCTGCCAACTGCAAGTAGGGAACACTGACACAGGACAAAACCAGGGGAGCCCGAGAGGGGAAGACAGAGCATTGGACTAGAAGCAAGACGCTTACAGCGGCCATCTTCTACACAGACACGTGAAGAGCCCAGGCTGTAGCTCTATATCCAGATGGAAACCTGGGGGATGTGTGTGTGTATATGTGCGTTTACAGTGATGAAAGAATGAGAGTGCACGTTAGTGGTCACCCTGCACAGTGACATCAGAAAAGGTCTAGACATTCTGACCTAGCAGCCACCTGCAGGGGTTACGGTGCGTCGCTCTGTAGCTCACGGGGTGCACCACGATTGGCACGATTCTATATTCACTTTATTCAAGGACTAAGATGTTAAATATTTCAAAAGCAGTAAACTTTTAGACATGACCATCCTTATGCTATGCTAATCAAATCCCTTAACATTGGGGGAACCTATCTCCAGGCTAGGCCCATCCACAAACAGCTGCAGGGCTGCCATCCAGCCAAACTGGCAGCTCTCCTTTATTCTCGAGCAATAAGTAGACAAGGCCAGTGTAGTAAACAGCAAGTATTGGTACTCTCACACACTCACCGGATGAAGCTCCCCAACAATAAAGCTTTCTGACAGTGTTCTTGCATCTGTGGAATGGCCAACATCTTCAAAGTTCTCAGTAGCATCTCCTCCTGCTTGCTCCCTGAGGACCTCCTCACCACCCGGATGCTGCAATTTAACAAGTTTGGATTTTTACTGAGAAGTATTCCACATTCTACAAATACAAGTTCTTCATTTTTTTTTTTTATTTTTTTTTTTTTAAAATATAGAAAAGTCCTTGCAAAAAGAGTTGCTAGACTTAGAGCAAACAAGCTTCTCTGGATAACTAGAGTTTTGTATGTTCTCTGAAGCCAAAACCAAGGAAGCTCAGAATCTACTCCAGCACTGGAGCAGTGAGAGACATTACCCCTGGCAACTAAAGCATTTAGAACATTATGGGAACCAGTCAGCCTTTTAATAGTACAACTATTAGCTGGTTACATTCCACGTTCTCATTTCTGCAGGCAATGTAGGTTTTTTTTTATCCAAGCAACATTTTATACAGCGGGAGTATAAAAGCCAAAAGGTGAAAGTTGTAAAAAGAAAGCTCCAGGTAGACATAATAAAAAAAAAAAGCTTTTCACAAGAAGAGCAGTCAAGCACTGAGACAAGTTGGCAAGGGAACATGTACAGTCTCCACCCTTTGAAGTTGCCTAGACAAGGCACTGAAGAACCTGACCTTTTGAGCTGGGGGTCGGACCTTTGAGGGCCCTTCCCAGAAGAAGTTACTGTGTGATTAACTCGTAAACCAACCATCACCATTCCCTCAAACAAAATCCCTGCTCTTCACCGACTTCTGTCCTTCCTCAGGATGCATTTTTGGGATTGCATGCAGTTCCACATTTCCATCCATCAAAAGCCTTTGTCTGTACATAATGAAAGATATATCACACCTTCGGTGGTTTTTCAGCTCAGTGAATTTTCTCAGCTTCAAGTTACTAATTTACATGATAAGTAAGATGCCATAAAAATTAATCACTCAACTTTTAAGTAGGAAACTACTGTATCAACACCAGGGATGATTAGGTAAGCAGGTCGAAAACACATTAGTACTATTGCCTTGGATTAAGGCAGTCACAAAATCAATTCTAACACTTAACCAGTGACAGAGGAAATAAGTATTTGGAACCTCAATTTCACTTTTCATGCTTCCAACTACAGGATCTAAAATTATGAAAGTAGGCTGATTTTCTGCTAGTTATGGTCATCCTGCCTGGAGTATAGGTGAACAGATAGGCTATGCTTAACACAACAGACCAGAGCAATGGCACAAGTATTTCTGCTAGTCTAGGCAATTCAAGTTAGCATTCACTTCAAATCTACCATATTAAGCTCCTACAATCATTCTCTTCCAACAAAAATAAAGCTTTTTCATACAGACCAGGAAGACACTCTTACTACCAGCTTCCAGGAGTACCAGGACCCCAAAACTTGAATCTTTGCATTAAAAACAGACACCTCTTCTAATAGATTAAGAAGGTTGCTTTGTTTAGGGAAAAAAAAAAAACAAACCAAACTCAAACCTCAACGCAATCCTTGTTTTAAAGAGCCAAGATACCCCAGCTAGCAGGGTGAGGGATCCCCACCGTGACTAAGCAAAAGCAAGATGAAGCAAGTGATAGAGATTAGGCACAGGAACTGAGCCAGAGAGGTCGAGAGAGTGCATGCAGAGTGAAGATTACGCAAGCAGACGTGCAAATATGGCATGCCCACCAAAATCCAGCCCTTGAGCTCGTTCTGATAAGTATTCAGGGAAAGGGCTGGACAGAAGTTGAGGGTTCACTCAAGTTCAGTGCCTTGAAACATACAGTACATTTAAGAAGCTGAACTTCAGTCTAACAGGCTCTCCCAAATATTGCTACAATGGCTTCAAAGAATGCCTTCAGCAACATAGGGCTTGGGAGGTTTGGCTTTTAACACCATGCTAAGGAATTCTGCTCCCCAAAACAGAAAAATACATGTGGCATCTTCAGCAGACACCAAAACTCTCTGGAAAACACACTTCAGTTAGACTTCGAGTAGCAAAAGACAAAGTCAAACTAAAGTTGTCAGTGACTTGGACAGTGGGATGGAGTGCACCCTCAGCAAGTTTGTGGACAACACCAAGCTGTGTGCTGCAGTCAACACGCTGGAGGAGCAGACACCATCCAGAGGGACCTTGACAGACTTGAGAGGTGGGCTCATGCCAACCTCATGAAGTTCAACAAGGCCACGTGCAAGGTCCTGCACCTGGGTCGGGGCTATCTCAAGCACAAATGCAGGCTGGACAGAGCATGGATTGAGAGTCCTGAGGAGGAAGACTTGCGGGTGCAGTTTGATGAAAAGCTCACGAGCCAATGAGTGAGTGCAGCCCAGAAAGCCTCAACTGCATCCTGGCCTGTACGAAAAGAAGCGTGCTCAGCAAGCCAAGGGAGGTGGTTCTGCCCCTCTACTCTTGTGAGACCCCACCTGGAGTACTGTGTCCAGCTCTGGAGCCTCCAGACCAAGGATATGGACCTGTTGCAGTAGGTCCAGAAGATGGAGGGTCATGAACATGATCAGAGGACTGGAACACCTCTCCTATGACAAGCTGAGAGAGTTAGGAGTTCAGCCTGAAGAAGAGAGAGCTCCAGGGAGACCTTATTGCAGCCTTCCAGTAGTATCTGAAGGGAGCCTACAAGAAAGCTGGGAAGGGGCGTTTTACAAGGGCTTGTAGCAATAGCACAAGGGGCAATGGCTTCACACTGTAACAGTAGATTTAGGTTAGATGCAAGGAAGGAGTTCTTTACTATAAGGGTGGCAAGACACTGGAACAGGTTGCCCAGGGAGGTTGTGGATGCTCCATCACTAGAGGTGTTCAAGACCAGGCTAGAGGGGGCCTTGAGAAACCTGGTGTAGTGGGAGGTGTCCTTGCCCATGGCAACAGGGTTACAGCTAGGTGATATTTAAGGTTCCTTCCAGTCCAAGCCATTCTACGATTCATAATAGCCTAGTAGCATGTACACTCATGCATTGCACTGAACCCAAACCCTACTCACACAAGCAGATAAAACACTAGTTACTCCAGCAAGTTGTCAAGATGACATGGCTTACACTAGTTCCCCTCAAAAATTCACCAACCAGCCAAACAAGTGGATACCTAGTAGTATAACTGCATATACATTAAAACTATTTCAGAGTACTTTACCTGCAGGATGCTCAGATACTTATTTGTTGCCACACCACTCCCTTGTATCACTCTGAAGCCCTCACATACCTGTATGGGCAGCTCCAGCTTTTCTCTGTAGGATTAGCTTTTGATCTAATTAGTAACTGATCCCTCTGTCTACAAACCCACAATACTAGCGTCACCAGAGTGACCACGACCAACCCGCTCAGTGGCTATCACACATTAGCTGAAGGGGACACTCTCACCCTGACCTCTGCTAACACAGCTGGACAACCAATAGCATTTTTCCCTCACAACAGCAAGACTGAAGGTAGAGAGTACCACATGCAGAGTTCCTAACTCAAGCCATCTAGCAGAAGTTACCAGTAACCTACTATACATACACAGAAGAACTCCAAAGCGACACCTTTTCTTTTGGATGGCACCTCTGCCTTAAGGGAAGGGTTTGCAGATCCCCTACAACCAACTAGCACACAATGCAAGCACCTGACAAAAACACTTCACCTCCCCTAATGAAAGGGAGCAGCTGTCACGTCCCACACGGGCAGAAGTGACCTTTCTATCAAAAGCTGAGCATTTTCACTGGTTCTCAATGTTTGTTTATACAGAGCCTTTGTTCACACTTCTGCATGGCAAACAAAACTTGCCATCACAATTTCTACTTTAAGGAAGAGTCCCCAGACAGAACTGAACTGGAAGCCCCCAAGATTATACAGATAATGACTCCTAATCTGCAACTGTGCTGATACAAATAACTAAAGTAGTTTTGGAGGCAAAACTGTGGTTTGAGAAACATGAAAAAGCTTCTGTTGGTTACGTTAAGCTAGCCTACCTCATTCCTAGGACATTGCCAATACAATAACACAGTTAGCTACATGTGTAACAGAGCTCTACACAAAGCCAACTCTAGTGCATAGTACAGACAGCACATCTGAAGTTTTAGATAAAGCAAACAAGCAGTTAAATTTGCTGCTCTCATCTGGGCCAGAGGTCTGTGATTACTCTATGCTGAACACCTCTACACTACTTCTCCCCCCCACTACAGTCATGCAACTTTTTGTGCCATAGTTCAACACTATTAAAGTATAACTTTCATTTCACAGTTCCAGATGCCTCCTCCCTCTTCCCTCACTGGAGGAATCAAACCCAGGCTTCAATTAACTTTTGGGGACATCAGCAAGAGTCTCCACCAACAGGAGTCTTAAAAACTGAAGTTTTGCTTTCTGCACTACAGGGAACAAGAAGCTTACAGGGGCAGTGACAAAGCCAGAAAGACCTGGAGAACCTCAGCTTCATTGTGTGAGACAGACAGATTAACACTTACATGTTTTAAGGGCACTTTAAAGTAGTCTGAAGAATCCTCCAAATTACTTCATCACCTGCTTAACATACAGGACAGAAATTCTGTAGTCATGTAAAATTTTAGGGGCCTAGGAGCACAGAACTCTTTATGAGAGCATGTTTTTGAAAACCATCACTAGGGTATCAGATGAACTGCAAAAGAAACACCCAGTAGTAGCTGGGTGTCCGTTTCCCCACTTAAACAATTACAGCTTGCAATGTCTTGCATAAAAGAGTGCTAAGCAGCGTTAACTCTTCAGAGCATTTCCAAATCCTCTTGGAAGCTTCATCCAGAGCTTAAGGAAGCAATAACACTGGTTTTAATCTTCAGACTGTAAGATTCTGCAATAAAAATCCACATGGTACATTGGGAGACTTTAAAATCTAATGCTGGCCCCTCCTGAGGTAAACTATTCATTACCTTAAACACAGAAGCTCTTATGCTACTCCTCCATAATATCATCACACCGGATGAATATAATTCATCATCACATCGTGGAGAGAACATTTTTCATTCTGACAGAGTAAAATAATATTTGGGTTTCTACACTTTATCTGATCAGCATTCCAAGCCACCTTTTGTAGGAACTGTCCATTGTTTTTAGAAAGTACAAGTCCACACCCCATAAAAAAAAACATT